AAAATAAAACAAAAATGATACAGATAAAAAAAATAACATATGAATTGTTTGAACAAAACAATACCACCGATAATCAAAACGAATAAAAGACGAAAAAAAACTAAAAAAAAAAAATGCCAAAAAAAAAAACAAAAGTATATCAAAAGTCAAAACGAATGCACCAAGTAATTGGGAATGGTTTATAAAAATTTACCCTAGAAATTTATTAAAGTCGTGTTAAATTTTCTAAGCCGCGTACGTATTTAACTGGAAATTAATAGCACAAAAATGGTCGGTGAATAAGAATATAAGGCTATAGATATATACCAAATATAAATAATGTTTCTGAACATTTAGGTACAATAGTAAGGTTTTTCTAAATTTTTCTATATAACAAGTTTTGACCTAAATAATGGCCAATTCAAATAGGGTTTATCAGTCACAAAACATATAATTATAATCATAAAAATAAAATAAGATATTTTTAATAGATACAAAATAATATAACTGTTTTCCAAGCATTATAATGAGTTTATTTGGGCTTTTCCCTATAAAGTATAAACTACGATTTTATTTATATTTTTTGTAACAAAAATATAAATGTTAGGATTTTAATAAGAATAAATACAACATGTATAGCAAGAGTGTTTCCTCATCCAAAAGTTTAAATGGAATTGAAAATATGTTTTACCAAATTTAAAAACCACTAGAGCCACTTTTATAGTTCATATGATAAGAATATTATTGACAACAATTTACATAGCTTGTTCGCGATACAAATAAACTTAATGGCTATCAAAGAACATAAACACGGAAAAAAATAACAAGAAAAACAAAGGAAAAAAAACTTAACGGCTATATTTTGAATACTTGTTTCTTACTCTAATCCTGTCATCTGTTAGGGAATGGAATTTAGAGAGGCTTAAATAATGCATGCTTGCAAAAGTATGCACATCAATATGATTTAAGCCACACAAGAGACATCATATGATAATATATTTGCTACTTGTAGCTTTTTTAGATATTATTATAATAACATTACTTGGATCAATAATCGTACATTTGGTTATATTATATAATGGCCATAAGAATACCAAAAAGAGGAGACAATGTCCATTTTAAGAGGGAATGTTAGGTAGTCCTCCACTTTCTTTTATAATTTCTAGACTTAATTATATATCCAGGTCGTGTTACTGATATCTGATATTACTGTGATAAGTGGATTTTGACTTTTTTGGTATTAACCAAGTTTTTATGGACATGCGACTCATAGTTCAATATATATATATATATATATATATATATATATATATATATATATATATATATATATATATATATAGGGAAAGGATTAAATGAGAACACCTAAAAGGTTGAGAACGCGAGAATAATTCTGGACCAATCAATATATAAGGGCATATTAGTAATTGTATATTTTAATTAAATTAAAATAAAATAAAATTCAATCAAATTCCCTTAAATTTAGGAGCAGTTACCAAAAAAGAAATAAATATTCAATTTTTTATTTTTCTTATTAATGGAATATAAAAAACATTTTTACCAAAATTTTATCTTAAAACTGAAAAAAAAATTAAGAAAATCAATTTTTTCCTTCTATTTCACGGTTTTTTTTTTCAAAAAAATGAATAGAAATCGAACCCTAAATTAATACATTTGTATTCACAAATGATTTTTTTTCAAAAAAACCTGATACTTCTCCAATCACAAATGAATACACATCAATTTACAAGTAATCCAATTCCTTTTTTTAATCGACTGAAAAATAAAAAGAGTGTAAAAATTATCATTTCTTCATAAAAAGAATACCTCTAATCATAAATAAATGCATTCATTAACACATGATTACACTGCTATTCACAAATGAATACACTGCTATTAACAAATGAGTTCCCTGTTATTCACAAATGAATAAATGAGTACCTCTAATCATAAATAAATATATTCATTCACACATGAATGCACTGCTATTCACAAATGAATACACTGTTATTCATAAATAAATACACATTTTAACATTAATGAATTCATCAAAATATAATATAACTTACATCTAAAAAAATATAGAACACAATACAATTTTTCATTCTCCTCTAGCTCAGCTTTACCATTTGGTTTCCCATCAACTTTAGGAATAACTTTGATGTTAAGATCAACCACGGAGCTAGAAGCTTCAACAATTCGAGCATAAGACTTTTTGCTAACATCATTGACAATAGTAACCACTGGGATTTTGATTTGGAATCATTATCAACAATCATCGGCTCATTATCCCATTTAAGATCCAAAAAACTAACTCCCTGTTTCATTTTCAAATCAGTCCCAGTATCTGATCCCATCTTCACATCATCATTTGAACCCTCATTCATTACTTCATCATTACCACTACCAGAATGCTTTACAATCTTCATAGGAATAAGAATCGTAACATGAGATGTTTCATGAACAGGGGACGTACCAGGAATTTTACCCAAAATACCCTTAGCATGGATTCCAGCATTCAAAGAAGGAGGCGACGAAGGTTGCAAACTGTCAGCCTTGGATTGGGAAGAATTGAACCCTTTAACCATATCAGAAGTAGCTTGTATCAAAACGAATCCCTTTTCTTCCACCAAATCATTGATTGTCTTATTATTTCCATAAATTTGAAAAGTATTCTGAATTTCAACGTTCTTACCACCATCGATAATTTTATCCATCGCTGCTAGTTCAGATTTGATAAAATTTGGATCAACATTCTCCTTGCCACATCCCGATTTGATTACATCTCTAACCCCATCGCGCAAAACATACTTTGAACCTTCCTCTTCACCAACAAAATAGAGAATCGATTGATTAACTGAATCGTAACATATGTGTTGGTTGTTGTCATCGGAACCCACGATACTGAAGGGTGTATCTATGTGTGTGTTCGTGTGTTGTTGGGAGGGCCAAGAAAGAAAGTGGATGAACATCAGAAAGAAATTGAAGTTGAGACTGGTTAAAATGGAAGCAATCAGGTCCGATGAACAAAAATCGAGTTGTAGGAGTGCTCTTCCGCTGATTCTATGGCCTCCTCCGGCTCTGATATGTTCTATGAGATGAGGCGGTGAGATGAATAATTCTATGAGATTAGGTCAACAAAATAAAGCGACATAGAGTAATTATAGGAGTTTACAAAATTAGGGTAATGCTTATTTACCTTAATAGCCTTTACAATTTTTTTTAATTTAAAATTTAAAATTTAAATGTATTAATAATTAGAAAAATAACAATTAATTATAGCCACTCATCTTAAAACTTAGATGGTCCAGATCTGTTCTCGCGTTCTCAACCTTTTAGGTGTTCTCATTTGATCCTACTCATATATATATATATATATATATATATATATATATATATATATATATATATATATATTATAACTTCTTAATCAAAAGAACTATATGAATACAAATAAAGATTATATATCCGATAAATAATAGAAATGGTTAATTAGATCAAATAACATTGTGGGTCGATAGATTAAATAACATCGGAGATAACCATTTGGGTTGTAGTGATTTTGGAAGACATGTGGAACATATGTTAGATAACCTATTAGCCGATGTTCAAATTTTAATACTACTCAGTCTCTGTGGCCATGAAGATCTGTCTACCTTGACTTCAGGACATGAGAATAGCCTCATATTTGTAGTGGATGATTAGTCAGTGTGCGAAAAACTGACCCAAAAATATTCTCTTACAGAAGTTCTCTTTGGATATAATTAAAAGGATATATAAGTTTATTCATCATTACTTGGCATTAAATTATGTTTCATGCATATATAATTCCAATTTAATCAGGGTGTGTTTAATGAATTTTTATATGTAGTGAACAATGTTGGTGTTTGTTTCGCTTTTAACAACCTTCAATTTAATTATTTCTTTAGATATCTTTTCATTATACTAACTATTTGTTTCTTTATTTGAATCATATTTCATGATTTTGTTTGTTTCTTCAAAAACAAGACATCCATAAATATAACTCTCCTCCATTAAGTGCAAATTAATAGCGTTCATTTATGGTAATATATTATTATTCATCTTTCACTTACACTTAACATTTTCTGTTTTTCTGTTTTTCTTTTGTTTTATTCTTCTGTATAGTTTTGCTCTCTTTCTTATTCGCTTTAAATATTTCTCTTGTTTCTACTTTTTCTCATATTGCATTACATTTAACTTTTTAATTATTGGTATATATATATATATATATATATATATATATATATATATATATATATATATATATATAATATATATATATATATATATATATATATAGGAGAACCATAATTAACCAAGGAACCAAGGAACCAATCTTTTTTTCAACTTTTAGAATTTATGTTTTATCAAAAAAAAAAACTAAAAATACAGAAATTCATAACTTTTTATCCTTTTTCCAATGATATCAAATTCAATTTTTTTTTACGTCAAATTCACAATGTGAATCCCGATTCACACGGTGAATCCGAAAAATATTTTTCACATTCACAATGTTAATATATGAATTTAGATATTTTTAGATTTTTTTTTTTCGATAAAGAATAAGCTCTAAAAATTGAAAAAAAGATTTGTTTTTTGAAGAACGAATAATTATGGTTCTCTATTGAACTTTTCTATATATATATATATATATATATATCTATATATATATATATATATATATATATATATATCTATATATATATATATATATATGATTTTATTTGGATATTTATATTTGAAATTTTATTGGTCTTTATACATTAATAATGCGTGAACTTAAGTTTGTTTAATTACAAATTGTAGTGCTTTATTTCATAACGCTTATCGGAAAATGTTTTTTTTATTCAAGGTAAAAAAAATCAGATGAAGTCTCAAATTATTAAAAACTTACTTTCAGTTGTACTAGACCTGTAATCCTTTTAAAAATCCAAGAAATACACAAGTCTTCGAAAAGTCTATATTTAAAAATAACCTCACAAATCAAAGACGATCATACTCTACAATAACTTTGTGTCCACCACTACCTTCTAAATGATTTCTCCCTCACTTGGAGTGTGTTTGTGTCTCCACCCACAAATCAAATAAAGTCTCATAAACATTGATCTATAAATATGGAATAGATTCAGAACTAGCCTTTTAACCCTAAGTGAAGTGCAAAAATGGCAGCTAATGTTTTTCATCTAATTGTCACTCTTCTAGCTTTCTCAAACCTTCTGTACATGGCTGATGCTATCTTGATATCTGGTAGTTCTCCAAGAATTTGTTATATGACCATGATACATGCATCTTTTAGTTGTACTGTACCCTTACATGCATGCACCCTAGTTCTACTCATTGTATAACGTATAGATATATAACTTTTGCAAATGTTGCAGGGAAGATTCATAGACATTTGTTGAACGAGAAAGAAGAAATCATGGCATCTGGGGACACCAAGAACCAGGTACACTCTATATTCTATGGAAATTTGAACATGTGTAAACACATGTATAATAAAAAAGTAAAAATCTTGATTACTCCCTGCTATTTTTGGTTTTGTGAAATGGATGAAATAGATGATGGATATTGAAGAAACTGCATTTCTGGAAGATGAATTCATGAGTGAGAGGATGGATTTGGAGAAAAACGATTATCCAGGACCAGGAGCAAACAAAAATCACACTCCAAAACCACCCCAACGTGATTGAGATTGATCAAAGATTTTAAAATTTTATGGGTGTTTTTTCATGACCTAATTAGGGTTTCAACTGTGCTTTCAAAAAGTAATGTTTGAAGTAAGGGTTTCAAAATGATGGCGTTTTATGGTGACATCTTATTAGTGGTTTCCGTGGCTTGTGGCATGTGTGTGTATATCAACTATCAAGAATCTTGTAAGAAGGTATCATTTTATATATGAATAAATTTATATATTTTGTTGTAAAAGGATATTTTACTATGAATTGTACAGCTTTATTTTTTTTCATTCTTATTTTCAAGATAAATTGTTTCGTTTTGTGTATTTATTTTGATTAGTAAACGAATAAGGAATTAAGAGAACGAAAATCAAGGAAGAAAATTTCTCTTCACAAATGGTTTCAAAATTCTTGTCATATTTGAAGAACTTTTAATTAAGCATTATTTAAGCACAACTTTGGAGCAATATTGCATATACACAAAAAAGAATCGTTTTTGGGATGAATAAAATCGAATTATATGATCTATAAATTTACTCTAGATTATTTTGCTATTTAGTGTTGCTTCCATGGATATGTATGTAACGGTGGGTTAGTCTAGAACCTACTATTAAGTAGTCACATAAATAAGATTTTTTGTTGGGGTTTAGATCGGATAAGTAGTACTTAAGTATGTTATAGTTTGTAATATGCAAGAATACATATTTTTTTTTGTTTTATAACTATGAATATACCATAGTAGTTGGTCATAAAACTTGGAAGTTATATAACTACTTGCTAGTGATCAGTTCAGCTGAAACCAGAGCTCTCACATTGATACGTAAATTGACAACTGACCTTGGAATGATTCTGCCATTTCTCCACTCTTCATACGAAAGAAGAACATGCTTACCTTAATTCCCCATCTCCTAAATCATGAAGACTTACCTTAAGGAAATTATCACCCGCACATAAAGTGGAAGATAAAAATTAGTTTATAAGCACATAATACAGATGAAGAACAAATCTTAATCAGTAAACGGGATGAAGCCTTAGTTAAACCTTTCAACCATTAATTTGTTAACTTGTCTGTAAACAGATCATCTAATGTGAAGTGGTTACTTGGAGTTTCAGTTAAAGACACAATTAGTATTCTTACGAACCTTTCATGTATTAACTCACCTGATGATCTAGTCTTGGATGAGGATTATTTCATCAGGTGTTGGTTCGAAGTTGTAAAGTATGAAGTTGTCGTCGGAGCTTACGTATGGGTTCTTTCGTCCAAAAGGAATGAACTATGTTTCAAGGGTAATTATAAAACTATTCTCCAGCTAGAGTGCATATATGAGGTTGTTTATGTCTCTTGTTTTGTGGCTTAGTGTTAGACGCAAATTAGGCTGCAATAACCTCAAATAGGACAACTGGATGTAATCTGTTGTGTTGATCAGTTTTTAGCTGCTCGCTAGGCTCTGTTTTATAATAAGTTTGCTGTTAAAAAAAAGACAATTAGTACGTATGATGTTTTGTTGTGTTTTTAACTGCCTTGTCTAAGATTTTTTTAGCTTTTTAAACACCAGATTACAAACTATTGCCTGACAGAATCGAATTTAAAAAGTGCAAACCAAGCAAAAATTATGTAAACAAACAAGGCTTTTGCTTATAAATTAGGTTTTGCATCTACATCGATTACATGCAATCAAGTGATAAGATGAATGATTGAAACACATGAAAAAGTCAAATACATCTTATGAAATACTTAATTATAAATCGTCGTAACCATACAAAAGGTCAAGCTAATGCAGTATATATAGAACACTCTAGAAAGATGGGGGAAAGATTAGGAGGAAGCATTTATCTGTTTCTGTTGTAAGCGGAGGAGGTGGATCTAAGGTGTTAATCACTCATAGATATGAAGTTGCTATTGCCCTATATCAATGATCTTTCGTCAAAGTGGATTTTTAACCTACAAAATATTATAACTACGTTTAAAGGATACATCTCTATGTTGAAAGTAATTAATATTCATAGGTAGTATAATTTATTTTGCAAGTCTTTTTATTAAAAAAGAAAACTAGTGAAGGGCTAGATTACATATAATTTTGTCGGGATCACGACACCTATTAACAAGAGATAAGAGAGTGTGGAGATGTCATTGGCATACATTGTTGGTTAGGAAAGGCCATGGAAGAGATATTCGTCATTGTGTTTTTCTTTTTTGCTATAACGGACGAGCTGAACATGACAGATCTAAGTCAAAACGCAACTCTTTAGCAAAGACCTTGTGTCGCTATAGAGTTCGTAATATAAGAACTTATTTACATTATTATTACAAAAAATTACCTTTTAGAGCCTATGTGTCTGTTTTTTTTGTTGCTTTTGATTATTAAAAATTGGAACCAAAATATGGCAAATCTTTCCACCCACCCTACAACAATAACATGGTGTCACTGATGTCAAGATATTTAAAATCTTCAATAAAAAAGCACGTGCTACCACATTTGTCACCAAAAAGTAACTTAAAACGATGATTTTGACCTCGCTAAAACCCTAGTCGATAAAAGTATGAATCCTTGTATTGCTAGTATATGTTTTACGATATACTATACGTTTTATCTTCATTGTCCCCCTTGTTTTTAATCACCATTATCAGAGCATAATTTATATGTAGGATGTCATCTATAAACTATGAAGAATCTCTCTACCTAGAGTTGTTAAAAGAATTTGAAACTGCAATGATGTTTGGCCTATTAAGTGTGGGTTTTATTATTTTGGTAATTCGGTTTTATTAACCGAATAAACGATTAGATTAATATTTATACATTTTACTTTTCCAAGTTAATTATTTTGGTTTCACTTTCTTAAATTTATAACTTGGTGGTGTTTGTTTCCTTGAAAAAAAAATTCACCACTTAGGTCTCGGACCCGCAGGTATATTTGAAAAAATATTGCTAGTTTTTTAGTAGACAAAAGATATAAAAACATATGTGATTAATTGTCCTTTTTTTTACAGAAGATGTAAAAAAATAGCTTTGAAAGTTGAAAGACATTTCTAACGCATAGTTTTTAAAGTTTAACGTACTTTTCTAATATTTCTTTTCGATTTGTTTTTTTTTTCACATTTTTCTGGGTTATTTTTCTCTTTGGGTTTTGTTTGTTTTATTCGTTGTTTATTCTCGATGTGCCACTTCAAAATTTTTTTTTCTTTTTACTAAGTTCAATTTCAACACATTTTATTAGACAAGATTGACCCTTGAACTCTTATAATATTATTTTCAAAAAAAAATATTTTTATAAAAGATTATAATTATAATCTCACATAATGTTATAGATTAACTAAATAACAAAAATATCGAATCTAGGAATGTTAAATAAGACAACAAAATAGGTATACACCCAAAAAAATCCAAACAAAATAATCCTTTGTAGTTATATTTCTTTTAACAACAAGAGATATATCATTAGAAACACTAGTGAGATGCTAAGACAATCAACATTGGATCTTTAACCCACTCTTCCCCCTTTCATGTGATTCCGAAGAGACCACAAATACACCTTCGTTAATTAATGACCGTTATCAACACTTTTTCCTTCTTCCACCAGCCATTAATCTTTGTTCTAATTTCCTTGCCTACGAACATTACAAGTTTAAACCTATAAACTTGTGGCGTTTAAGACCCTATGTTGTAAAAATAGGTGTGGAATTCCATTTATTTTACAAGGTAAACCAAGCTTAATAACCCAAAACCAGTTAAAGTTTAACCGAATATTATTTGATTATAGTTAGCTTAGAAATGTTGATAAAATTGTTTATACTATTTACAATCTAAATCCCTTTATCTCATTACATACAAGACTTCTTTTTGTTATTGTAGTAGTAGTATATCTAGACTGAATATTTGTAGAATGATGGCTTGCTATCTTTCTCCATAAATTATTAACAGAAAAGGTGGAACAATATAATGAGAAATCATAGAAGATGTACTTAATATAATCACAAAAATTTGACCATGATGAACATCATAGACCTACTCCCAATATTAAATTAAACTTATTGAGTTCTGAATTCTAGACTCGATGTCTTAATCCCCATAAAGCATCTTCATCGATTTGCACTTATCCATTAATTATTCATACTTCTAATTTTTTAATTTTGCATAATAGGCCATGTGTAAGCTACTGATTACCCCTTACTTTCTCTTTAATATTAGGGCAAATTCATATATATCCTTTGAAATAGCATTGAGAATGACAGAAAAGTAGAGGAAGAGTTCAGTAGCGTTCGTTTGATGATACTAAAGAACTCCATCAATGGGATTAGAAGGATCCAATCCGAAATCAATAAATAAGATTCAAAAATTATATCGAAATCATTATAAATCGAACAACGCTGTTTTGTCCTTATATATAAGACTTGATGTAATTATACATTCCATATATAATCTTCACTGACGTTTATATAAAACCAGATGATTGAAAATGTATAGATAAGAGGAACTTACTCCTGTCGATTGCAACCAAATTTCTTGTTCGATATGCGAATCTCAAGAGTAAAGACCTAATCAAATTGGGGAAGAAGTTAAGAAAGTTGGCCACGAATTTACATTAGCTCTTTTATATTGTGTTCGAGGCCCAATGCCCATCTGCCCATCTAGAATCTGGGCTCATATTGGCCTAAGGGAGGAGGGAGTCATTTCCTCTCAACCCACTGAACCCACTGCAACATCAATTTTTCTCTTTCATTTTTCTTCATCTTTCCCAACCCACAACACACGGAAACCATATCCTTCTCAACCCACTCAACTCATTCAAGTAAAAAAAAAATACAAAACAATCGAGGTAAAATCTTAATTAACAATAGAGTTACGCCGGTACCACTTCCCCTTCAACGGGTTGTTTAATTGGTTTCACTAACCCACTTCATCCGCTCTCTACTTTCTCTCTCTTATTTTCTCTTATACCATGTGTTTTAAAACTTGTACCTTAGTTGTTTTGTAACACCCAGTTCTGAAAATACTTTGGTTGTGGTCTAGGAGGCCCATGGTATAGGCGATTCGGTCGTTTATGGGTCTCGGGTTCTATTCGAAAGGTTTTAATTCTTGGATGTGTAGTTAGGAGCGTTGGGCTTCTCGACACCTTATCGTGGATATAAAGTTCGTCGGAAACGGACTTAGAATAAATGAGTTATAGCACTTTGAAGTTATTGGCAATATTGGTCCTTAATAGAGGAAGATGGAAAGAAAGGACCATGCATGCAAGGTGGCCAGCACAAGAGTAC